CACCCAAGAACAGAACACCAATCGCTTAGACGCCATTCTGCTCATAGACAGTGCTCCAGCATATCAACAATGACCGCGCCGGTCCGCGCAGACTATGATTGACAGGACGAGCGAGGGCGGGTCTGTGTTGAATCGCTGCTGTCAATCAACAATCGCGGAAGGGGCGTCCGACCGTGTGACGTCACACGGTCGAACGGCTTGATTTGAGGCAGGGGAAAACATATAAGGAGATTAAAACAAAAACACTGGATGGATTTTTATCATTATATGATGGTTGTGTACAGGCACTGCCAACACACATTTCAGTACAATCAACTTGTAAAAGTGCATGTACCATTATATGACCCCTTTAAAAATCAACATGAAATCAAAATTGATCCGGTTTTTAATACATGTTTATGGTGTTATTGTGAATGATTCATCGGTGCACATTATTCCAAAGATAAAAAAAATGCTTTATTTGAATAATAACTTGCTCCCCCTCGGATGCAAAAATGTCAATAACACCTGCGTTATGCCGCCTTGAAGTACACACACACACACACGACTTGCATTCTGCTATCGTTGGGTCATCTGAGACATAAATGACGTCATGACAGGATTGGCTGATGACACACCAAAAACACATGCACAATACCCGACCTTTTACTATAGAATGTTCTGAGCTCAGCTGTGATGTCAAAAGCAGGAGAACGAAAAAAAAAGTGCACTAGCAAAACACATATTCCTTTAGTGTGTAATGTTGCGGTTTGAGCATGAAAAAGGTCTGCAAAGTTACAGAAAGTCACTCCAGAGGGAGTTATTCTCTATATCAGTGCGCACTGTTTCTGAACTCCTGAAACACCTCCATTGTAGTCTCGACTTTTCTTCCGGGAGCAAACGCGTATTCTTCATTTAAATATTTCCCGGCTAAGGCATAAGCAAAATAAAGGGGCTTGGTATTTAACTCGCTGTTGTAAGGCGCGTTACACGCTGGAAGCGGTTGACCAATCACAACACACTGATCCAGCCAGCCAATCAGAGCACAGCGTGCTTATCAGAAGGCGGGGCTTCATAGAGACAGGAACTAATCAGGGTGTTACTGACAGACTGGGAAGCGAGGTGCTGCAACAATGTCAAACATGTGAAAAATGTGTTTTTTGAACATTCAAGCATGAAAACCTTTTCTAGTAGAGCCTAAAAACAAAACAATAATAGCCTATGGCCTATTTCTGATTTTGAGATTACAGACTCAATAATATGATTAAATACATTAGCACTTTTTTTTAATGATCTACGGTCAATATCGTATTGAAACGATTGAATAATTTAAAGGGCAAATCAGCAAATTTTCCCTCCATTATATAGGTCATTCCCATCCTCAGATTACAGTTAAACCAAATTATTAATCCACGGTTCCTGATCAATAGCAATACATGCATGAGCGTCACAGCAAGAGGGCAATCTTTTCTGAACTTCTCTTCTGAACCCAACAGTAATTCCCGTCTAGATTAGCAGCGCTCTGATAAATTATGCTGTGTTATGGATACATTCCTGGTCCTTCAAGGTTATATAATATTCAATATGCAGTAGAAGAGTGAGAGACAACTAAATTCAGGTCAGGACACAGCAGGACACTTTCCTTTTCATGTTTGATTCAGAGGGGTCACTTCTGCAAACTCATTAAGACAGAAATGCAAATGATCTTCTCTTTCACGATATTTCTCTTTTTTGAAAAAAAAAAAGGCAATTATTGCGCCAACCTACTGTAAAAGAAAAATACTAAGGCAAGAGCTGTGCATTCACATGTAACACTGCTCTTATATGTTTATGTAAATGTATGTTTGCTAACAGTTGAAGGTCCAGCGATGACGCAATGTTCGGCCCTTAAATGATGTATAGCAAAGCAGTGTATGTTTTTCTTTGAAGTCTCACTGAAATGTGGATAGTTTCATGTTTTAATATCTTGTCCTTGCGATGAGGTCAGATATCCTCATGTTACGAAATAAGCTGAATTGGACTTTTTATTCAAATTATTGATATTCTAGACACACAGAGCTGCTTTCCCATACAAAGAATGAGCTTTGACTAAATTACCTCTTTGTGAACCAGGAAAATGCATTCACACACTTCATTATTTAACATTGATTTATAATGCCAGATACTGTACTTTAATTTAAAGTCATTTGCCTCCTGAATTTCTTTCTGTCTATCAATCTGTGATTTGCCAATGTTGATGACAGAATTACAGCATATATTTTTTTTGTATGCCCAAGACCTAGACCTACATTTTACTATAAATACATCAATCATTTCTAAATTTGAAGTTAAAAATCCTGTTAATGTCTAGGCTTTTTAACAAGTGCAGTTCAAAAATGCCTGTTTTGAGATTTCTGGCATACATTATGTATTTCATATGCAGCTACATTAAAACAACCATGCATTCAAATAAATCAACACAGTTTACATAGATTGTCAAATAACCTGTCTGTCAGGTTGATGTGTGTTTGTTTGTGTACTTGCTATTTTGTTTTCAAGCAGCAAATTTCCCATTTGTTCTTTCTTTACGATCTCTATTCATTCACATTTACCAGTATATGTCCCTGAATAGAATCAATCTGTAGATTTGCTAATACTGTGAGGACAGAATTCTAACATGCATTGTATACAAATTTAATTAGAATTTTACTTTGTGCCACTAAAAAAAAACATTTCTTTGTTTGGCTAAATAAAAAATCGTATCAGTGCAGACGCACTTAATAATTGTCGAGAATCTGTCATTTGAAAATAATAAATGTTTTGCTGTCTCAGGTCTGTGGAATTACAGCCTTAATGTATTTCATATAGGGAGCCTTGCATTTAAATAACCATGCATTAAAATAAATCCACACAGTTTACAATAACAAGACATCTGTCCTGCTATGCATACATTTCATTTAAAAACTGAAAGGTTCGATTGTTATCCCGTGAGCCAGTCTCAGTGAGTGAATGCGCGAGTGTGTGTGTGTGTGTGTGTGTGTTTAAGGCTCAGCTTTCCGCTACACTCTGGAATGCGGCCAGTCCCGTCTCTCTCTCTCTCTCTCTCTCTCTCTCTCTCTCTCTCTCTCTCTCTCTCTCTCTCTCTCTCTCTCTCTCTCTCTCTCTCTCTCTCTCTCTCTCTCTCTCTCTCTCTCTCTCTCTCTCTCTCTCTCTCTCGATTCCACATTCGGGTTCCAAATCCAAAGCCTTTGATCTTTCTCGCTGTGTCTCCTTTACCCGGAAGAGAACCGTCGCTTTCCCTCTCAGCTGGGATGAAGGAGCGCGTGGAAATATTGGCGCGTCTCCATCCTCACACCATATATGGTCATACAAAGAGTGTGGATGAAAGAGGCCGCCGCCGCCAGATCAAAGGCAGCCGTGGCTCCGCCCACTGACCCCTCCTCCGCCTGCTTTATAAAGATCTGCCTCCTACTCCAAACTTATTCTCACGCAAGCCGCAGAAACACCTCCCAATGTTTTTCTTCCCCTTTCTTGCTTTCTGCTACACTGAGGGAGGGCTCCTTGCATTTATGGGGGTTTATATATTTAAATATTTATATATATTTCATAAAATCTGCTTAATATGTTAATTTAACTAAAATGGCTAAATTAATGTTTTCAATTAAAATCAGCTGATAACGAGATCTGTATAAATGCAGCCTATTTCTAACAAATATTTATCGTCAAATTTCAGAGCATTTTTTTCTTTCTTTTTTTTTTGCAAAGGTTCATATTGGATAGAAATAATTCGTTATGTATATAACATATTTTAGAGTTCAAAAGTGACCCCTAATAAATTACATGGCATGTGATTGTACAGTGTATGTTTTATAAATAAGCTTAATTGAATAAAACAATTAAATTTAGATTACCTTGAGAACAAAAGAAGCAGTCGGGTCAACCTCAAGTATTCATTAAATCAAGCATGCATGAGAAAATGTATTTAATAAGATAAATACGAGATACAAACAACTTTATAGATCTTTTCAAACGCAATCTCATCCTCTATTATTATACAACTGCATTAAAAACGATTTATGCATTTGCATCTTTGATTTCACCCTTTGCAAGCGAATGCAGATCAATTATTGGCTAATATATATATAGGCCAAAATCTGTTTTTTTTTCTGTATTTTAATGTTATTTATTATTTTTTTTGCATTTTTTTTCTATTTAAACGACCGTTTATTATGGTCATTTAATAATGCAAAAACGTGTCTCAAATTTTTATATAATATTCTAATATTTGTCTCCTATTTTTTAGTTTATAAATTCAAAATAAGCACAAAGGGTGCTGTTGATACTATTTACTAACACTAAAACAAAATACATAGCCTATTGCATTTGTTGTGGTAATCAAATGTACTTCAGAAATTATTATTAATAATTATATATTAAATAACAGTTATGTTATCCGCCATCCTACATATTTAATTTGGTCATTTCGATTCAAACATATATCGAATTAAACAGAGAACCAGCTGATTTACATGAAACATTCAATACCATGTTCACAAATGACTTCTGATGTTTCCTGTAAATCCTAAATATTTGACACCGCTTATGTATGATCCAGTAGCTCTTTTCTAATTGGTTAAACTGACGTTGTCACGACACTGTTTTCGTTTCCAACAGCCCCAAAAAAACGAATCTGAAAAATGAACCTCCACATTTTTTTCTGCTCTCTGTCCATTTTTGTTGGATGAAATGTATAAAATCCCCCTTTACTTTCCTCTGGAGTGTCAGTCAATACATGTGTGTGTGTACGCGCGCGCGTGTGTGAGGTGTCAATCACAGCGGCGGCTTCTCTTTCATCTCTATAGTCAGTCAGAGATCAGGGGGAGGAGTACAGCACTACACTCTCTCCAGTCCAACATTACTCTCAGTCTCTGCTGAGCTCATTTCTGAAGAGGGACACCTTTTTACCCAACAAACAAAACGGGAATGACACACAGCATCTGAACTCCAGCACTTTTTTTTTTTGGAGTCGTTTTTGTGTGTGTGTGTGGAACAGACAGAACTGTCCTGCGTTTATTTGAGCTTTAACTTCTGACGCTTGCCTTAAAAACACCCAAGGAACTGTACTTTAACTTTTTTCTTTTTCTTTTTTTTTTTTTTACATTCAGCGCCGCTATATTTTTATTTCCCCCTCTGGATTCTTGAGTGTTTTACCGGTCGCGCGCTCTTGCTGCTGTTGACCAAACACTCTCGCGCGTGTTTGGAGTGCGCGCGAGCTGAAAGTATACGGGGGTTTCTGTTGCACGCGTTCGCTTTCCGGGCGTTTGTAGGGTGAGGAGGACTTTCAATCACCCGAGAAATGCCGCAGTTGTCAGGTGGAGGAGGCGGCGGGGACCCGGAGCTCTGCGCCACCGATGAAATGATACCGTTCAAAGACGAGGGAGACCCGCACAAGGAGCAGATCTTCGCGGAGATCAACCACTCCGAGGAGGAGGGAGACTTAGCGGAGATCAAGTCATCTCTGGTCAACGAGACAGAAATCAGTCCCAACAGTAACAATCACGACGTGAGTAACTCACTCCTCAGACGCACGTGAAGGTCTCCGTCAAACTTCGTGTCCAGCTGTTGGGAAGTTGGGATTTGTTTTCAAAATTAAGTGTCATGTTGATATTTTAGCCTCTGTTTTGTAAGTGTGTGTGTGTGTGTGTGTGTGTGTGTGGATGGTTTAAATGGTAGAGCTACACGTGTTAAAGTCAACAAACTAATTTTGACCCACTGTCCTTATTTAAACGAGAGGAAAAAAGGGCCTCGATGGTCAAAATTTTCGTAATTGATCACAGAAATGATTCAATGTTTACAATTTTTTTATGAGTATTCATTCAAATTATCATGAACAATATAAATGTTTAACCCACAGTCGTTATTTAATTTTCAAAGGCATTGTTTATTCATATTTTCTTTTACCAATCATAATATAGTGGCTATTCAATAGGTTTATTTAAAATTGTAGCCTTCTAAGATATACTTATTCAGTTTATTCAACAATTAATGTTGAACAGTTATTAAACAATATTGTAAATATGATATTGCAATACTATAACAATGCTAAGCGTTGTTATTATTAGTGCAATTTTTCTGATTAATAATAATTATCCAGGAAAGTCTGCACATATTTTAATATTTCTGAAACAGCTCATTATACCTCTAATTGGTTTATTGTGATATTATTTCACAATATTCTGCAATATGCTTGTTTATATTAATATACATTTTTAATATGTATTAAAAATCAGCACACCCCATTTATGATGGCGACAATCAATTTGCCTGTCGTTTTACAAATTACGTACTGCAATTTCACACAAAGAAAAGAGTAAATAATTATCCGAATGAAACAAAAATGAATTTTGTGAGACAGTTGTCAGATTAGTGTGCTGGTGTAATCTCGTTTCAGTTTATTTTTGTGTTTCTATGCTTTAAAATGACTACTTGGTCATGTGAATCAAGAAAAATGAACTGGAGAATAAGCAGATGCATGGCTTTATTAATGAAATGTATTTCCTCCTGGCATCAACAGCATGCAGGGTTACAGGATGACATGAGAAAGAACAAACTGATGGGCTGAATGTTAATTGGGAAAGCAGTGCCGATCCTCACTCTGCTGGAAGGCACCCAGAGGGAGCTGAACTCCAAATGGAGTTTATTTCCCAGCACTTCTGATTCATAATGCGGAGTGAACGAGAATAGTAGCAAAGCCTTTCTTTTTCCTTCCTTAAGATACCGACCACATTTGTGGTCAGACTCCACAGCAGAGAGAAAATGACTGAGTTTAATCAATGTCTAAAAAAAACTCAAGTTATCTTTTCCTTATGGATGCCTTCTGTCAAAAATATGATCAAAGCATGCCTTATTTTGTCAGTTTTTCTTCAGATAGCAGGAATCCTGGATAAACATAAACACGTTGCACATCCGAATTTAAGCTGTTAATATCTCTCTCCTACATTTTTGAACAGGCAGCTAGACAGTCCCAAATAACACCAGACTCTTACCATGAGAAGCACAGGGACCATCCGGACGATGGTAAGTCCTATGGCTTGGGATAAAAACATGGTGTATTATTATTAATTCTTTGATTCAGCGATGTACTTTTTTTTATTCTCAAAGCATGCTTTTACAAAATCATGGCATTTTCATTTTATTATGTTAAAACACTTGCAAAGAAAGCAATTTACACATACACAAACACATACATACACACACACACACATATATATATATATGTATGTATGTGCGTGTGTGTAAATTTATATATATATCTCTTTTTTAAAATTCAAATGAATACAGGATATTATTTGTAATGAATATGCTTGGTAATTATTTCAATTTGTTCATCCGCTTCACTGATCACGATGGCTTTGTGAAGGGAATTTCACAGCCCACAGTCTGTTTGTTGTCGACACGTAATGACACGTGCCAGGGAAGTGCCCCATCTTCCTGTGACACGCTGGCCTCCAAACACACCGTCTGAGACTCTATTGTCAAGAGCAGCATGTTGCTGTGATGGCCCGGAGTTCATTTGATCTCTGTTTGCACCCGGGTCTTTTTTACGCCGAGCAGGGCGCTGGGGTCACAGTGAAGTGACTTGATTGTCTTTTGCCCTTTGTTCTCTGCTTGCTGTGAATTAAGATGCTAATTTTCAGCTAAACGCTTCAGTGGCCTCAAAACGGCTTCCCCGTTTTAGATACCTTCTTGATTTCCTGTTTAGCTTGGATTCCGTGCATTTTTAAAAAATGTGGCATTTGCTCAGGGAGTTCATTTTTGATTCGTTGTTTAATTGCCGCTGAAAGTTTGATTTTTTTTTTTTTTTTGACCGGATCACATCAAGTATTAGTTAAAATAAATGTAAATCTTGCTTAGGAATTCGTATTAATTCAGGTTGAATTTTATTCTCTCTCAGGAAAGCTCCAGGACATGTACAGCAAAGGCCACCCGTACCCCAGTTACCCAGGATACATCATGATGACCAATATGAACAATGATTCCTACATGAACAACGGTTCTCTCTCGCCTCCCATTCCCAGAACGGTGAGTGTTTTCCCGTGCCGTTCACTCCCGATCCCTCGCCGTCCACCAGTGACATTTTTCCTAACTTTTTTTTTTTTTTTTAATCTTCCCTCATTGTAGCGTGCAGCTTTGGGTTATGACGTTAGTTGCTGCTTGGCGGCGTGTCTGTGACTAATGCTGTGACCCATATCCATATCTGCTCGTACTGTCTATACTTTTCAGCGTTGCAGATTTATTTAATTTTTTTCGATATTTGTATGATTGTTTTGAAGGGACGTGCGCTCTTATGGATAAATGGATGGAACTTACAGATGTTTACCCTCTCGGTTATTCTATAAAACAACCGCTGATGGAAGGAGGGGGTTTAAAAAAAAAAAAGCAAAAGATGGTGGATACGCTAGCAGCTGTCCGCCCTAATCCTGTTTGGTAGTTTTTGTGTGGTTAAGACTCCCTGTTTGGCAGTGTACTGGTGCCTGGAAGAGATGGCCGCTGCAGGCAGTCTGTGAGCCCGATGAGAGAGAGGGCTTTCTCCGCTGAGCTCATCTCATCCATTGTTTGCACAGCTCTGGATTCAGCTCCTTTATCAGTCTGCGGGCGTGCGATTATGCTTCGTTTTTTGCTCGGTTTCACCGCTGTGGTGACGGACACCAAACAGAAGATTGACCTGTAATTGATCGAAGCATTTGGGATAAATGGTTATGACTTAGTTAACATTTTTTTTCTTCTTCTTAAGCAGATACATTGTTACACAACAAGATGTGGTTTAGATGCACAAACACAAAAAATGTCTTTGGGTCAGCAAGGGAACATCCTTTTGTGGTTTAAAGCCTTCGCTTGGGAGGTACAAAAAAAAATCCACAAATAATAGCAGATTATTTCCTCTCATACTTTTACAATGATTTTGCAGAATGTGCGACCATTTGCAACTTACCTGAATTTCTCTTTTTCACTCTGTGTGCAAATAAAACCGCAATCATGCCAGATCCTTTTACTCGAACTCCTCCGTCTGTTGTCTCTTTCTCTCCTTTGCGGTGGCTCAAATATTCGGACACAGTATCTTCAAGGCCTGGGATCGGTTTTCTGCGAGATCAAAGGCATCTTCTTTTTTTTTTTACTCCCTCCCCCCTTCATTCCCCTGAAGTTTGGATTGATTTCCATTGGCTATGACATTCCAGCGGCTGAACTCCCTCCCAGTCATGAAACAGACAATATTCTGGTGGTCAGCATTTTTTTTTTGAGCGTGTGTGTTGTTGCTACCTGGTGAAACGCCAACCGTACGAGTACAATGTTCTCCAGCCCCCCAGCAGTAGTGGAAATTGGCATCATGGTGCTTAGTGATCCATGAAAGCTTTACATGTTGCTCTAATCTGATAGACGACATCTGGAAATGGCATCCAGGGTTCCTTTGAGATGACTAACTTGGGGTCAGCAGATAATGTTTCCAGGTAAACACTGGGGCTGCATTGTCTCTAGTGCCTGTAGCTTTGAAGTTCTAATATTTTAACATTAGTATGAAATGGTGAATTGGGAATTAAGACAACCTAGGCATTTCCTCCTTTTGAAATGATTTCCCTCGCGCCGGGACGTTTCATGTAGTTCCGCTTATCTCGGGCCCCTTTTAATCAGTTGGAGAGAAGAATGGGGTGATGGGGTCCTGAATTTGATTGAATTGTTTAATCTGTTCTTCATCCCCTTTCTTCGTTTCTTCATCTTTATCTTGAATTGGATTATTTAAAGTTCAAGCACAAAGTTTCATCTCACTAAGTGTTTGAGATGTTACATGTTTGACCTCTGACCCATAAGTTAGTTAATGCCTTGCTAGTCTAAATGTCCTGAAATTCTTCAGAATGTGCTGATCCAAAGGCTTTTTCACGTTTCGAAACTATACCAATAAGGGAAATAAGTGATCTACTCAAAAATTAAGCAAATATTAGTTAAACGAAAATCAAATTTCCCCATGTATATAAGAGGTGGCGCTGAATATCAACCAAATTTACTCCTGTATAGTGGTTTGCACACCGCTTTTTTCTGTTTTAGCTGCGATTTCAGATTCAACGCTTTTCTATATTTGGTTGTGATGTTGCTATCATTTGAAACAAATTTTCATTGGGCGACATTGTAAATACATATTATTTCAAATCCGTGTTTGTGCCAAATATTCACGTTTGGTGTGCAAAACTCTCAGAGAAGAGCAGATGTGAATTTAGAAAATTTAGAACAAAGACCATTAAATGCATGGAAAGTAGGTTAATTTATTTTTTAAATAGACATACAGTGTATTGATTGCATTGAGACTTAAAGGATTCTACCTTAATTTCAACAAGGCTGTTTTGATGGGTAGCTTGCTCTCCATATGAATGAATGGCTACTGTAGTACATTTGCTGGAGCTACTGGTGGAGCAACTTCTGTCCTTGTGCCGTTTACCTCCCCCATCCTGACTGGCCTCTGGCAGTGGAGCACGGGAAGAACCGACCCAAGATATACACTCGCACTCGGCCTGCTTTGATGTGGGATGTGACGGATCTCTTGGCGTGGACATGCCGTGGAATCACAAACCCCCCCAAACCCTGGCTTTGCCTAAAGAGATTTCACACAGCTGGATCATCTACTCTCACTCTTTTCCTTTCTGCACCATTCGAAGAAACTACAGTTCCCAGCAGCCCTTGTGTGTGTGGTTTTTGTAACATTATTTATGTAGCATATTTGTAATGCACTTTCATAGTTTTCAGTACTAGCATTATTATTTACATCATAATCTACACTTTTAAACTTCTAAACTCACCCATATGCCTTCCTGGCGCTCTTAGCACGTACTTTAAACGCGCAACCTGTCATCCTTTGATTAAGGCAAGCAAAGCGAACCGCCCCCACACATGGGTGATAAGGGGGCAAACTAGTAGCCATATCATCTGCTGAGCAGGTCTGAACACCAGCGTGGCCTAGACCTTGCAGATTTCAGCAACCCACGGCCCTTTGAAGTGCACTGGTACAGACCCAGGGTTTTGAAACAGAGGGCCATTGATACTCTGTTTACATCGGCTGGTTACCACAGTCATATTGAATCCATGTGTCGGATGTACAAAGCAAAACAGGCTGGCAGTGTTATTAGGTTAATTTTCAAAGGTTTGCCTCCATGGGGCATTTTACCAACCCCAAAATATTAATGTCAAGCGACCCACTGAAATTCGTTAATTGCAATGTCTTCATAGTAGGAGACTATAAAAACTTTGAAATTCTGGCCAGAACGCCCAAATGAAATTGCTTTTGTGTGTATTCGAGAAATGCTGTCATACACGTATATATTGTATTACGAACATGGTTGAATAATTCGCTTTGGATAAAACCATCTACTAAATGCATGAATGTAAAATTCATGAACATTTTTCGTTATATACAATTCCAAGTTTACATCCTAAAAATGATCATTTTTGAGCTGGCGTTGAACAGGCTTGAACACACGAGTGTTATTTCTTGACCTTTTAATGCACATCTATTCTGCAATCCAGCGGTAGCACCTGTTGAGAGGATCCTGAGGGCACGTGTAAATGAAGTGCAATGTCGTGTTTTGTCTTCGCATCACAGTTGTCGTCACTTCTCCTGTATGTTATGTCTCCAGGCCTGGCTGTGACCTCCATCACCCTCCAGCGGCCTCTTTAAATCCTGCTTTATTTTGACAATATAGCTGACGCTCTTGTGCCAGTTTAGTTGGATTTTTTTTTTTTTTTACTCCTTTTCATTGTTGCTTCATTTTGTGTATTCTCATTCCCAGTGTCATTTTGAAGTCTCGGATGACTTAAAATCCCCATGTTTTTCTCATTTTACAATTGTTTGTTTGAGAATCGACATTCGATGCGTGTCAGTAACCCTCTTCTATCAAATCACGCTAGTTGTATAACTGTTGAAAATTGTGTAGCACTGGTAATTTTGGCACGTAGAAACACCAGAACAGACGAGTCGAGCGTCTCGTCAAACCTTCGTCATCTCGAGAGAAATTCATTAGTGACAGTGATTGAAACCGCATTTTGTTTGCGGACATGCATGCACGCATCTCTGAACTTCATTTGCACTGCTTTTTCCTGATCAATAGAGGCTCTGTGCCACTAGGTTCCACTTTTTTTTCCCATATTCTTTCTGAAGCTCATTATTTTTATTTTTTTGTCAGGCTGTTTGTGTATGTGGGGGCAAAAGAGCTTCACATGCTCCGTGGATCAGACGCCACTGAAATATTCATGCTCCCTGGTGTAGGAGTTTGGTAAAGGGTTTCTCTGAGTTAAAGATGGCTTGCCACCAGGCTTTATTAGCAAGGCTGTTTAATGGATGTATGGATACAGCCTCTTTTTCCTCTTTCTTGCATGCACTCACTCCCTCTCTCTGTGTTGCACACTAAAACCCTCTCTTTCGGCATCTCGCAGTCGGTCATGTTTGCAGCGGATGGGAGGGGCGGGCCTTGCTATCAGCTCTTTTTGTGTGGTCTCGGCCATAAAAAACACCCTGTTCTTTGAATGTGAAAAGAGCCTGTCTTTAATTTTTGGGGAACTCATAAAAGTTTGTCGCTCCTTTCATATCTGCCGCGGAATTAAAAACAAATGCTTCCTTTTTTCATCCGCCTTTGAACTGGCCAATTATGGAGTTGTGAAAATAAAAATCACCCTGTCAATCTCTCTTCTCCTATTTTACTCCTTTCTTTTCCAGCTTTTTCCATTTTAACTTTGCTCTCTTTGATTTTTCTCTCCTTTGCTCCTTTGTTTTTGTCTTTTTCTGTCTTCCTTTCTCTCTCGTTTGTGTTGAAGGTGTGTGTGTTGGGGAGGGAGGGGGGGGGATCAGTGATGTCAAAGTCAAAACCGAGAGCATTAAGAAAACTGGCGAAATGCAATCCAGCTGCAATCCGACATGACGCTGGAAAAAGGGGGCTGTGGAGCAGAGAGCTGCGGCGTATTCCCAGGGCGCACAACTGCTCGCGGCCTTGGCTTTGATCTCTTCAAAGCCTTCTGCCTCCTACTAGATGAAGAGTCTTGGCTTC